AGTGCACAAGAAAGGAAACAGCAGTATGAAATTCGTTACCTTGTGTCAAAGTGGTGCAAATTTTGAAGAAATTAGTAGCTATTATTATTGAGTAAAAATTTTTGAAAGATAAAGGATCCATTAACTTGTTAAACATAAAAATCTGATGAATATCAGTGAAAAACTGTATTCTTTTAACGGTCTGAGTGAGAAAATGACATTTAAAAATATATAGTGTGACGTGATTTGGTCCCACGCTCAGTTTTCATAACTGTGTTTCTTAAGTTGGAGAAGTGTCAGCGTAACTTCGTTTCATAATATGCTATATGGATTCTTCTAGATTTGAACAAAAAAAAAAAAATGATTGGGCTAAAATTATATTATAGTTTCTAATTTTCTGTTCCAAAATCTTCTCAGCGTGAATTAATTTAAAAAACTGACTTCATATATGTTATTCCAAAATCAACCAGTGCAGTGATGCAATTTATTTGAAAATACCACTGGCAACGTTGCAAGTGTCAATTTTGGTGGTTTATTCTAGTGTAAAATAATTTAAGATTAAGTTTTATTGCATTTTCATTGTTATTTTTTTTTCACTTTTAACTTCAAATTGACAATTTGTGACAAGAAGTACTCAGACTTTATTGTTTTGATTTTGGAAAAAATGATATATAGCTTAAACCCTTATGTGAAATAACAAGACAAAATAAAAAAATATGCTCCAATATTTATAGGCGATACAGGAAAAATTTTATCACAGCAGGTTTTAAATGGACAATCCTCAGAATGGAATTTAGAATATATAGCTAATAATATTCTTTCTTTGCTACTTTTTTCTCGGAGTATATTTAATTCTGTTTCTAAAAATAAAAAATAAAACTGGGTGACAACAAAAGCAATGTGCAGGTTATGACAGATTTCTTATTTCGTCTAAAGTTGCAGACAAAATTTAGCGACAAAGTGGGTTCGAAACACTTGCGCTGTCAAAATTTTGAAGCTTTACATTTAAATGTCAAATTAGAATGACACAAATGACAGATATATTGTGGATTTGAACATTTAGTTGACGTATAAGTTGTTAACCTACATTTTTACGATATTCAGTTGTGGGTAAATCGACGTTAGTGTACGATTTTCCTGAAAATTTTGACGCAAATGACGTTTCTTTGTCGCTAAGTTTTGTCTGCGCCTTTATGCAACTTTTTGAGTCAACATCAACACTACATTAGGATGAATACCGTAATTTTGACATGTATAAAATGACATGCAATGATAATGGAATGGGGAATTCGTCATTTTCGAGTTAAACACTATAAAAAATGCTTGATTTTCAATTTTTTTTATGAGGTCCTCTGCAGTCAGTTTAAAAAATGTAAGTTTACTACAGAAACAGACAATAATTTAATAACGTTAGTAAATTTTACAGAAATTAAATAAACCGTATTTGAGGTAATTGATACAATATAAACTATTTTAAAAAGTAGCAGTATGTTATTGAGATAAAGCGGTACTATTATTTTTGTATTGATTACAATTTTATTGCGCTGAGACGGTATCAGCAGAACCTAAATGACACTGTACCAGGAGCAGGCAGAATCTTGTGTCAGGAACGTACTTTTAAAATTTCAGAACCGTTAACTCATTTCATTGCAAAAATTTCATCTTTTACATTGTATTTATTAAGTAAGTTTATTTTTTATGTTTTGCTATTTGGTAACTTTTCTCAGGACTTTAGTTGTCTCAGTTATAATTCCTATATTTTCATGGAAAGTTAACGAGTACGGGTCAGACCCTCATAATTACACCATAAAATTCTAATTGATGCAATATTATCGTTCTGAATCTACCGCACCTTAGGACATATTTTTAATGAGGATTTTCAGGATGATGACATCAACTTTTTATGAGAAATGAATAAATAAAGTTAGTTAAGGTGCTATTTTTAATTTTAACAATATTACATTCTTACACAATTTCTAGAAATTTGTTGTATAAATTCTGAGACAAATTGTAGAAATCCATAGTTCAAAAGTGAACAGATAAAATTTTGGTTTCGCAGTTTCTTAATTTATTTGTTTAATCTACAGGGTGATCTATCAAATGACAAGAACAAATGAAATTAGGCAGTCCTCAAAATGATTATATCAATATATGTATTAAGAAATGTGAAATAATTTTTTCCGACACATTTACATTAACTGAATAAATGACATAGTGATGTTACTTTTTTCTTATTTTTCTTTAAACTCAAAGCATGGGGAAGTTTAGTGCAAAGTAATTCTCGTGAGAATATAAAGTTACAGTTATCGTAAGGTGCATTAAGTATATACAAATTTGTAGTGTTCCATATGAGAGATTTTATATTCCGGAACAGCCTGTATGTATCATGTATCGAAGTCTTTTTTATTTTGGTTATAGGCTGTTTAATCTGTATCAAACCACTAACTTTTTTGTAAAGTACATATTTCTTTTTAATTTAAGTTGAGATTATATCACATGCAAAATTTTTAAGTAAATTTGAGCAGAAATGCAGCATGTTAAATTTTTGCTAAACACTTATTAGTAACATCGGAGAACCTCAACTCAGGTCCAGGTCGAGCGTTCACTGATCCAACAGCTTTATTTCGGTCTCTAATTACACATTCAATTCGTTTTGGATTAAGAAGCGAGTAGTACCTTAAAAATAATTTTTATGTAATTATAACATAATGGCGTTATATTTATGTGAGACACATTTTTCAAAACTGTATCTAGAAATGCGGTTTTCATAATGTTGAAAATTTTTATTACGCTACTACTTTTTGACTTATTTAGTTTCACGTTTATTTCTATTTGCATGGCTTTTAAAATTGGAATTTAAAAAGGAACTGCTAAAATGTGTACACAATTTACAATAGGTGCTTTTATCAGTTTGGACGGGAGTTAAGACGAGGAACTAAGGCACTCCAGGTACCACTGATACGAGATATAGCCTTGGATCGGAGTTGATGATGCCCAGTAACATAGTTATGACCACTGTTAAAAATAAACTTTTAGTTTCATTTATTTGAGTACTTGATGATTGACGCAAGTCATTCATGTATCCATGCAACTGAAGGTTTCCGATTAGCCTTAGAATGTTGTTAAAGACATTAGTATTGTCGTAAACACTATTTGTACAAGTAGTGTTTACTACAAATTTTCATTGTTTTTTTCTTCGTAATCTGTCTGATTGACAGATAATAATTAATGGATTTTGCGTATTCTTCAGTTACGTGCTGTATATTCTGTGGTAAAATAGATTTTCCATTAGAAATTACGTATAATAAATTATATAATCTAAATATAAAATGTCAAATTAAATTTCTTTCTGTTACTAGGAAATAAATAAGTTGCTACTGTCAAAAGTGTATTGGTACCACAGATCTTTATACGAACATTCATAAATGTTTTTTACAACCAGGGACCTGTGAAATTTTAAAAATGTTACAGATTTACAACTTTTTAGTAATGATAGATATTTTTAAAGTTTTAATTAATATGGTTAAAACGTCATCTGTCAGAATAATTATTGTTACTTCGAAAGAGGCCGAACAAGTCGGTGTCCACTTGAATCATTTATGACAACCCTGTACAGTATTTGTCAAAACTATTGTATCTATTTATTATTGCTACTTTTAGTTTTATGTTCTTAATAATAAACTACTAAGATTTAAAATTGATAGTTATTTCGGTGATATAGACCATATTTATTAACAAAGGCGCAGATAAGAAATTTAAATCCACCTGTATTTGGAAATTAAAGTATGTTTTTCACTAAATACATTTTTTTGGTAATTATGTCTTCAATGCGGTTAACTTACTAATATCTGTTGTCTTAAAAATCATTTTCGTAACACGCACCTTTGAAGGTTAAGACCGATTCTCTTGCGACATTTAAATGAATATTTTAGTATCCATAATCCGCATTGCAAGAGTTTTACGACTGGAATTTTGCATCGTCCTTGTTACACCTGTTACAATGTAGTTTGAAGATAGCAATGATTTTATAACTATTACATAAATCCCTGTCTGAACTCTTGAAGTTATGTAAAAATTCTTAGAGAATAGTGTTGTTACAAACAATAAATACAAAGGAAATGTTAATAACAGCACATGATGTAACACTGCAAAATTTTGGTGCCATATTCAGCTTTGTTAATTATGTTCTGTGAATTGTAAAATTGTTCTCGTTCTTTTACCCATGTTTTTAAAGTCAGACAAACGAGAATCTCATTCGAGCAGTGAATCAGCATTTCGTCACCTTGATGATCCGAAAAACGCACATTAACCGGCTTACCTTTAATGCTAATTTGCAAAAATGCACCTCAGTTATTTAAATTGTTCATTAAAGTTAAAATAAGGTATTGCACATGATTAATATATCACCGATTAAATTTAGGTTGATTTTTTTTGAGTCAACTTTCAAATATCAGTGTTTCTGTTATTTACTAAATCAAAATTCTTGTTATCGGGTTACACACTTTATTTATTTAGACTTATGTAACGCATTTACACATCAAGATTCTGCAAAAAAGAAAGTAGGATCATCGTTATGTGCACATACCCTGCAGGGACGTCAAAATTCAGGTCGTCTTCTTCATCAAACAAGAGAACGAGTATTTTCATAAAAACCTGGATGGGTTTCTGTATTTACACCTTTGCAAACGGGTTTGAACTTATAGTTTTCTCATAAATCTTCTAAATGCAAACCACTAGTGCTGCAGAAGAGTTATTATCATACAATTAGCTAAAATATCGAGAGAGAGAGAGTAGGAATTTAACATCTGCTTATGGCAGACAGGAAGGTCGTAGTTCGTGACTGCACTCCACCCAAATTGCACAAGAACTTTTACTTTCAACTTTGACTTATATGGATAAAGTAGAAATTATTCGCATACCTTATGATCTACTGCACCAGTAGTTCTTGACTATAGATAAGCGACAAAAATTTTTATCACATAATTTATTGTCAGACATTTATAGTGGTAAATTTTTTGTAGGCTGCGTGAGTGCTCAACTCAAAGGTAATCAAGAGGATCCTTGTCAACTCAAATCGAGGGTGGTAGGAGACCAGACATACTGCGACAGATATTGGGAATGTGTGAATGGACAACCAGAACTGTACGACTGTCCCAATGGTTTAGTGTTTGCGGGTAAAAACAGAGGGGTCACTGAAGGTTGTGACTACCCATGGAGGTCCAATTATTGTGAAAACAAACAGCAAGTCAATTCGCCAATTGGTACTGAACACTGTGATTGGTTATACGGCATCTTCGGCCACGAAACTTCCTGTACGCGTTACTGGACTTGCTGGAATGGTACTGCTACTGAACAGTTGTGTATTGGTGGTCTCTTATACAATGAGCGTACACATTCGTGCGATTGGCCCGAGAATGTAGATGGTTGTCAAAAGCATCGTACGTATTGTTCACCCCATTTCAATTTTTTTCTCTCATTCTGTCATATGTAGCTCTCTGTAATGATGATCCTAATGGAAACGTGCCCTTGGGGAAGTCCTGCAACAGGTACTGGCAATGCCAAGGTGGATATCCTCGTCTCCAAAGATGCCCAGCCATGCTGGTGTTCGATCGCAGGTCATTGAGATGCGTTGTACCTCCAACTGAAGACTGCGACGTACCAAGTACTCTTCCACCGCCACCATTGGAAGAAGATGATGAGACGAACATTCCACAGAATAACCCGAAGAATAAACCACAGTTTAATCTTCCTCCTGGTGCTATCGCCGTGCCAGAAAAGAACAGACCAAGAAACTAAATTTAATTTTTGCTACTTTGTTTTTATCGCCACATGTAGTAACACACGAACGGAGAAATTTTGTACCTGAAGAAAGTGCAGAAGAATTATGGGTACAGTTTGTTGACTTTTTCTTTACTTATTGCATTTCTCTATTCGTTGACATGCTCGTTACGTAATAAAAAATTATTTATTTGTTTCTTGTGCATTACGTTTGTGTTAAGTGTAAATTTAATCACTTTCACTCGACTTGTTTGTATTACATTTCCTTATACACAATTCTTCTAGTGCCAGTATTTTTATTTTTCGTCTTCATTATTCTTTTGTTATATAACACGTTGTGAATAGATATATTTAAGTTTATATCTTTTAATAATAAGTGTATGATAGTGTATCTGAAATAAATTTTATAAAATAGAACTGCTCTTTAATAGACTTACATTAAAAAGTGTTACATATAAAATACAAACAATTATTTGAAACAATCGAACGAAATGGCAAATTTCTCTAATTCTTTACTCAATTCTGGATCGTCTTGAAAATCTTTTGTGAGTTTATACGTTAGTAGTTCATTTTTGTTTTTTTTATTTTTGCTACCGGGAGGTCTTCCCTGACGCCTCTTACTTTCACCAGTCGAAGAACCAGTTGCAGCACCTGAAATACTCGACAAAGCAGTTTGCAATTCTCTTGCAGAATAATTATTTCCGTTCATGGTGTCTGGAAGGGGAGGCAACTCTTTAATTCCACCTAATTGCGGATTCACCATCAAACTACACTGAGGAAACCCAAATCTCACTAAAACCTATCCACTCGTTAATTTCGAAAACACGACAAATAAAAATAATAGACCTGAGATATGTAAAACTGCTTTTCTTGCACCCCAAGATTATCCCAGGAGTTAGCAACTGCCATTTTGATTTGTTGTTTGGGTGTATTTGGATACATCCAATGATACAAGGTTCTGGTTCTCTTGGAAAACAACGACTTTGCAGCTTTGAGAATTTCAGCTTGTTTAGTTTCAGTGGCTTGTAGTTCTATGACATCTTTGAAGAATCCCTGGAGCTGGTTGTGGTCTGGAATCTAAAAAAACAGTAAAGCAATATTTTGACAACTTGTTTAAAACTTACGCTATTTTGACAAAATAGCTTGGGTCGACGTCCCCGTGGTTTGATGAAGAGCTTGGATGGAGTCACTTCTGGTTCTTCTATTTTAATGTTGCGATTAGGACCACGAGTTAAGTCTATGGGCTCGTCGCATGGCTTTTGGTTGTAAAAGTTTTTCTGGTACGGTTGAATCAGATGGTACAGTTTTTTCTTTGCTGGAGAACGCACATTTACGATTATGTTTGATGCGGATGGATTTTCACAAGTGTTCTAAAATTAGGGGTTATTTGAATTTAGAGTTAGCTTGGTTTCAGAACAACTTACTTCTTTGTTGTCGTATCGCTTAGCGAAAAGTCCTTCAGCGGTTTCCATTGAGAGAAAGTTTTTTTAATTTTTCGAAGCTCGGAAACTATGACACATGAGCTACGCACAAAATGGAAGTAAATAAAGTTTGTTTTTGAGACTACTAGATTAATGCGTATTTGCGGATGAGTCTAAAGGCAGTGGTATAACTAAATTATTCTCTAAGTAAAATGGTGCAACTGTAGAACACTTTATTCAAATTATATTATTATTAAATTATTGGTGGTTTATTGTAACAATGTCATTTATACATTTTTTTGTGTTATACTTAACTTAAATAAATCAAAAAATGTACCGTTTTAGAATGGTTCTTTCGAATAAAAGAACAAAAATCTTTGGTAATATATGCATAGTTTACAAAATCTAGGTGTAAAAATAAGGATTTTTTATTTTATACTTCAACGTTTAATCATGTAATCTGACATAGGCTACAGTCTAAATAAATTTGTGACGTAATTTCTAAAAATGTTATTAGTTTGTCAAAAAAAAGATATATGACATTTTAGCGTTTTGAAAAAATAGTGTGTTATTTTTGTATATTGCTTAATTTGTTATTAAACTTAGCTTTTGTTGAATGCTAACGTATTAACTAACAGGACAACAATTTTCTAGGGAACACTTGGAAACTGGGTTAACCCGTTTTACCCCAATGTTCTTAGTTGTACAGTTGAATTTCTCTGTTTAATTTACTATTTTTAAACATGAGAATTAATAATTAAATATTTACGATACAAGTGAAATACATAATTAACTACCAGCGTGAAGTAATTTTAGAATTTCTTTAAAATATGTACTCAACAAACATTTTCATTTATGTTTATATTGTCAGTAAATGAGTGCGACGGTATAATATTATCGGAGAAAGTAGTATTCTAACTCCCATGTTGAGCAAGGTAAGTGACATAAATCCTAGTGTCCTAAACATAAATCTTACAGTTTTCTCTGTAGAATACTATCTAGTTCCGTTGGTTCATATTATTTTTAAAAGAAATTACGAACCCTATTTTAACTTGCTTAAATTTAGTTTATAGTATGTATATTAAAAAATTAGAAAACGGGTCGTTAGACGAGTTTTGTAAGGGATGAGTGATCTAAAATCATTTATAGCACAAATTTTAAATGTCGATTGCTATATTTTCCTCTGGAAATGTATTCCATTTTTTTATCGTACTTTAAATGTAATTATGTTAAAATGTTTATCATACAATAGTAATATTTATTCAATAAACACTTGTAAAACATGGAATTTGCATTGTAAATTTAAGTTCACTTAAGCGTACGTAAACATAAGGAAATGATGCAATATACAAAGTTATCAAAAACAATGCATGAGTATTAAAAAACCATATATGTATAAAGATAAATACGCAAAACGAAAATATATATTAAAATTAAAAACTTCATTTTTATATCACTGTTATGGCATTGCTGCAGCGTAAACAGTGATGTTCTTTGTGCCTTTTACGAGTATTTTTTGAAGGTGCTCTTTACGAAAACAGTAGAAACGCCTAAACTTATTGCAAAATTGACATGGTCCAAACCGGGAAAACTTCTTTCTGTTATTACATCTAGACGTGGAATACTTCGATTACTTAAAATAGGAGAAAAAAGAGTAGTACTAGGCAAGCAAGAATATCTACAGATAAGTAACAATTACAGGCGGGCCTACCTGAGACATAAGCCTCGTGTCTCCTAAAATAGGCATGAGATTTTTGGTTGCAGAGATTTCATCCAGATTAACCTGCAACATTGTCGCACGGCGCGGCGACGACTGTTTTGTGTCGTCGTCTAGACAAGATGCAGGATACTATAACAATAATCCAAAGTAAAATCCAGGATCTCGGGGTTGAGCAATTTAAATGGCACTGTTGATTTAGGGGTATCACAATAGAATCTCCAAGGATATGCATTTATATTCCCAGGAATATTAAAGCCATCCTCTTACCTCAGGTCAGCTCTAGGAATGTGGCTGCGGTACATGTTAAGTGTAACATTGGAAGAGGCGAAGAGCAACTTGTAATAGCATCCGTGTACTTACCACAGGGGGAACATGAACCATGTCCAACATGGGAGATGGCGAATTTGGTGAACCACTGTGACCGATGCAAGCGCCCACTGTCTGCTCTGGGGGAGCAAAGATACCAATGAAAGAGGAAAACACTAGCTGAATATCTTTTGGCAACAAATCTAACATCGTGTAGTCAGTCAGTAATAGATATTACACTGGTTACATGGGATATCTCACAGTATATAATGGAATGGGGCGTCTCCAAGGAGGGGTCAGTGTCAGACCATAGATGGATTATGTATAGACATAGAGCCAAAGACGAACAGGAAACCTAGGCTGACGAACTGAGCTTTATACAACGAAGAACTGGAAGACGAAGACAGACTGTCTCCGTACCGTCGGTACCAATAGAGTATAAATCGAGAGAAGACATGGAGAAAACTTTGACCATTATCAACGATTCTCTGATGTCAGCTTATAAGAAAAGTTGCCTCCTAAAGAAGGAAGGCCTGGGCAAAGGTACACCATGTTGGAACCGAAGGCTCAGCCTACTTCAATCGGGGCTAAGAAAACTTTTCAATAGAGCAAAAAACACTAAGAAAAGTGAGGACTGGGAAGCCTATAAAGAACACCGGAAAGAGTTTAAGAAAGAATTAAGAAAGAGGAAACGGGAAATGTGGGGATCCTTCTGCAGCGACATAACGTCGACTGCTTCGGCTGCAAGGCTGAAGAGAGTTCTTTCGAAGGACTACTCACATCAACCAGGTTTCCTAAAGAAAGAAGATGGCACCTTTACAGCCACTTTAGAAGAGTCCGCAGAACTATGTAGGGGAAAGTCCCCCTTATTGGACCAGTGCCTGAATTGAACCACCCTATTTTTTTAAAATCTAGAATAGTTGCCGACATCTAGTGCATATTATTCGAAAGTATTTGGCGCCAAAGCAGCGTTGTGCAAAATTCCATTCTGTAGCGGTAAGTGTCTGCTTGTTAAATTGCAAAGAAATTTTGCTACCATTGTGATACAACTTTTCGTATGTTTTTGTAAGGATATATAGCCTCAACTATTTCATAAGTACAGTGCACAAAGACTACATTGGTCAAAGCGTAATAAAATTAAGAACCTAACCTAGAAATAAATATGTTTTATTTCGTTATAGCGTTTTAACACAAGAAAATAGTAAATTTTGTACCAGCGCGTAAATTGGACTACCTTAGATTCTCCTTATTTGGACCGGTCTAATTGAAGGAACTCCCGATTTGACCAATCACGTCACAGTATCTAGGCGCCTAATTTTAGAACTTCGTATTACAATGCCCAATAATAAATTTTCTTGTTATAATCTATTAACTATGATTTTATACTAGATGGATGCGGAGATTTCACGATTGATGAGCACTCTAATCCAAACAATAAGACGGAAAAAGAGCTGATTACTGAAGTAGAGAACAATACTAAACTAGAGACTGAGGAATTAAGACTTGATGATGAAACTGCCACTGTGCATTATTATACACCTCTAGAAATTTCACCTATGCCCAAGATAATTAAGCAAACAACAAAAAGAAAAAGAAAGACGCAAAAAACTACAATATTAACAACGACACCTTACAAGGAACAGTTGGAACAATAGAAAAAACAGAAGACTAAGAGCAAATTTGTTGATGAACTTAAAGAACCCAAAGCAGGTCCATCTGGTTTGCGTAAGGACAAAATACCAAATACAAAACAAGACGTTATTGTAGAGGCCAATGTGCAAGAATGGTACTGCTTCCTCTGCGACGAAACAACGCTGGAAGACATGATTCAGTGCAATGGATGCAAAAAATGGGTTCACGAAACATCTTCAGGAGCTGGATCGCGCACAAAGCGTTATTTATGTGATTATTGTACCTAATTATAACAGTATTGTTCAGTTTACATGTAGTTCTAAAACGTTTATTTTTGTTATTATTTTTTAAAATTTAATCTTGTTTTTTTTCACATTTTAAATAAAATTATGTTCATTTCATGCATTTTTACCATAAGATCCAATCTAAGAACCGGTGGTCCAATTCAAGAATATAGTGGTCCAATTTAGGAACCCAGTCTCCTATTTTGGACCATTTGCAGACCTTCAAAAATTATTTTTTTTAACCAATTTGGATGTTTCAAAAAATTCTAAAAAAATTACCAAACATTGAAAACATGTCAAAGTTAATGGCTCAACACTATATAAGTTAATATCGTATTACATTTTGGTTTTAAATGAAAAAATGTCCCACTAGGTCCGAATGAGGGGACTTTCCCCTACTCAACCTTCCCCGAAGGACTGGGCGTGGGCGGCAAAGGTAGTCACGAAGGCATGACTGGAGTGGGCGGTTGACAGATTTTCCCCATGTAAATATCTGGGAGTGGACGGTATCTATCCCGCCCTTCTGTAGAGGGGAAGAGATAGAGCAGACTGCGCCCTATCTTGTGCCAATACTTCGGCGTGTGTGGCTTTTAGCTACATACCGAATGCATGGCGAAAAGTAAAGGTTATCTTTATACCTAAGCCAGAACGAGAAGATTACACCTTGGCTAAATTCTGTAGACCAATTAGCTTAACATCATTCTTGCTGAAAACGCTAGAAAGACTAAGCGAAAAAGAGATTCGGCAGACCGCTTTAAGCAAGCAACGTCTTCGTCCGAACCAACATGCCATCCAAGGAAGCTCCACGGATACGAGTTTACACACAGTCGTAAACGGTATAGAGTGGGCGATGGAGAACACACTCTCCACCTTAGGAATGTTCTTGGATATTGAAGGAGCATTCGATAAAACGACCTTCAAAAGCGTAGGATTAACCCTACAAGAGCACGACGTGAACCCCACCCTGAGTAGGTGGCTGACTGGTATGCTGAGGAATAGGGAAGTACTGAGCAATGTAGGTGGCACTGAGATCGAGGCTGTTGTAGACAGGGGATGTCCCCAGGAAGAAGTACTCTCTCTTGTACTATGGAATACTGTCATTGGCAGCCTGATACGACGCCTCAATGATCTTGGCTACCACACAATTGGATACGCAGATGATTTAGTCATTTTGATAATAGCAAGCTGCTATAACAAAAGTCGAGGAATGGTGCAGCTGACATACCCTCTCGGTAAATGGAGAGAAAATGATATTAATTCTGTTCACTAGGAAAAGGAAAATTGGCACACTACAGATGTCAAAAATTGTTACGGAGCTTTAGTTTGGTGGCCCAGAGCTAGAAAAAAAAAACAACAGCTCTGCAGCTTGAACACGTTCAGAGAATGGCGTGTCTCAGTGTTACAGGAACAATGAGAACCACTCCCACGCGGCTCTGGAGACACTTCTTTGCTTAGCACCTCTTAACCTTTATATAGAGGAAGCGATGACGTCTTTAAGACTTCACTCTCTAGGAGTATGGAACAAGCAAGGCATCATAACGAAGCACTCTCGTCCCTTGATGGAGGCGTCCAACAGAATACCCTTGTTAAGGATGGGTTGTTACCGAATGGGCACAAAATTAATATGTGAGAATGTTAATGAATGGTAAATCAGAAGGAAGAGCCGATATCGATATCTATGTCGATGGTGCCAAAACAGATAGTGGTTTAGGAGCCAGCATCTACTCCGAACAACTGAACGCACAGATCAGTGTACCTCTCGGCACCCACACGTGTATCTTACAAACGGAACTGATGGGAATAATGATGGGCGCTAGAATCGTTGCTGAACGTCCAATCGGCAACAAATCAATACGAATACTTACTGACAGCAAGTCTGCAGTAGTTGCCTTGAATAGCTGCATGGTTCGATCCGGGCTGGTTTGGGAGTGAGACAAACGCTAAGGTATGTAACGCAGAGGAATATTGTAGAACTTTGTTGGATCAAAGGACACAGTGGCAACGAACGAAACGGTCGCCCTCTCGAACGAGCTCATAAAGCAATATACCCATAGACACCATGAGCAAGCTGACCGTAGCCAGCCCTCATAAAAACTAGAAATCCAAAAAAGTAACAATTTGTTTCACATATCTCAGCAAGGATTGTCTTGGTTCCAATCTTAGGTACCTTTCACTTTTGATTTTGGATGTCACTCGACACTAGATTTAAATGATCATACAACAGATTCACAAAAAATAATAATAAGTAGGTGCATTAGGTTTCATTTGTTACTTCTCTAGTGATACTTGTTGAAAGTGTTAAACGAGGGTTATTTTGATGAATGTGTTAATTTACGTTTTCATAGTGTTTCACAGATTATTAAATATGTCAATATACATTTTTTTTCCAGTTGTCATGCTCACCAAAATCTTGATGACATCATTATATTGTTCACTTCAAATGTGTATTTCTGCGATTTAATGCCAAATTATTTACAAGAAGCTCCCCGCCTAAAACGTTCAAGACGAAACCAGAAATACAATGTCAAAACCAACGTTGATATTTCATACCAATTTTTAAAAAAGTAAAACGTATAATAGTAATTACACAACTGCTTCCCGCATGAACGCTTGTTTGCGGCACGACCGAAGGGAGTGCAGCATTTGCGTGAATGCGGGAAGTAGGCATCACGAACGTGTTGTGTACAATATTTTTTGCAACGAATAAACCTTTAAACTGAAGAGATTAACTGTGAGTTATTTATAAACAACGGCGTAAACACGTCACAATGTTGACACTACTAGACTATTTTAAAGTTACCATGGCAACGGAAAGTTAAAATGCACGTGTGCGGAAAGTTCGACCTCCCGCATCCTGGTGAATGCGCGGAAGTAATCAAAAAAGGTCATGAGTGCAAAAATATATATCAACCGACTGCTATGAAATTGTACTGTTGGTTGCGTTTTGAATTTTTCAGGCGCGAAAAATTAGTTTGATCATAAAATGCTACTATTTATCTTAGTTAGTTCCCAACATAATAAAGCACTGACTCACTCCTTTCGGAACATCGATGACAATCTTAAACAAAAAATGATAGCGAACTATAGAAAATCTTGGATGAAGTAAAAGGATTTAATAAAAAATAAATGAAAAGCATCTGTTTTTATTGAGACATAAACAAAATTCTGGTCAGCATCGTTTGTATCATGTTTTTAAGTATTTATTAATTAACCTGTGATAAATATCGTCTATCCTAAGTAAAGCAGAGAATGGTATAAGAATATTAGCATTGACAAATAAATAACTTACAATTGCTGTGACGCCATTTGCAACATATTAACATAATATTTCGGACAAGTAATAGGTGCGATAAACCTGTTCTGAAAAAGGATTCCATTGCTGAACATGTAAATTAACATTATAAGTACCAGTTTTGTTGATTTTGTTCCTTTAAAATTCTCCTTTAATAGAATCTAAAATAATACATCATTTTGTAGTAATTGCATGCACTTACTGGTGAAATATTATCTAAGTACAAGGAATAATTGTAAAATAGCATGAAACAACTTTTATCTAATTATCATTTCAGATTTCTTCAAGGCTACTAAAGTTATTTACGTAAGCGAATGTGAGATGATATCTTTTCTTTTGTAGTTTTGTAAAATAAAAAATGGGAAAATGTTGTTTTTTGTTTGAAAGAATACGTAAAGCTTCGTTAGGTAGGTATACAGTGAAATTTTTATGTTGTTTTTTCATTACCGATGGTTGATGGAACTTATTACAGAAGAATCGCTCGTCTTTTTTGGCCCAAATATGCCCAGATTTTTGTTCTTCTTTAAATGCATATTGGAAGAAATGGTTTAATTTTGATAGATCCAACCAAAAGTTTTTATATTTGTAGAACATAATGTCTATAGAAAGATGTCTGAATTATTATTATTTTTTTACACTAATGATAAATTAGAGAGTACATAATTATTCAAACATCAAATTTGCCAAAATATGCTTGTGTGAACTTCTTTGGAATGAAGTTAGTTGATCTTTACTTATCTTTCAAAAAATGTAAAAAATTGACCGATATCAAATATACCTTATACTTTCAAATGGACGTTAGTGTAGTAAGACTGCATTAACTAATCGTATCTACATAGTTTTTCGATTAATGTTGGTAGGAGAGTATGATATCTAGAGATCTCTGTTGGAAAAATTTGGTTTTAATGTACGTTTTATATATTACCTGTATGACAGTTACAGTTGCAATTGCTAGAATATTAATAGTAGGTTTAATATAGTACGATATACCAGCAATAAATCCAGCCAGAGCTACATTTGTTGTTTCCTTGTAGCAGTTAGATTTTTCAAATAAGAATAACGAGCCCTGGAAAAACACAAGTTATTATTATGTAATTGTTTTATTTTTGAATTTATTTCTACAGTTATTTATTATCTTCTTCTACTATTGATGAAAAAGCTTCATTTTCACGTGGCAAGATGCCGTTTTGTGTATTAATTGCACAAATAGTAACTAGAATATAATTAACATTTTACCGCTGTTGATGTTATTAGTAAAAATTTAGTTCAATAAAATTTGGAAACTCCGTCAGTATATAAAATTTGCCATAAAAAAGCGGTTGTTTTTACTCGCCGAGTGTAGGCTAAGGAAGTATCGTAATCGAGTCCATCGGGGGACTGGCTGCTTTCAAATTTTCTCGATGGGTCATGACCCCCAGAGTACGAAAAAATGGATCTTCCGTTTTTGTCTGTTTGTCTATCCGCCGTTTGTGCCGATTTTTGTTAGACACATAATCTCCAAAACTATCAGACCGATTGTTGTTAAATCTTAATGTATACATATAATAATAAAATGAATTAATAAATTTCATGTAGATGGTAAAACGTTAACTAAACTTTGTCTAATCATCTCCACCAACATGTGATGGTGTCACCTCAAAATTGTACAAGATAAATTGATTTTAAGTTGTATAAAATAACGTAGTCCTACACGGGTAGTTTATGAATCTGAGTTTTTATCTGAAACATCCAGATTTTTGGAAAAAGAAATCAAAATTATATAACAATATTTTACAGTTTAATTTTAAATTTGCTTATCCAGGTGGTTCAAAAAATTAATGAATGTGTCAATTTATTTTAATAATTAAATCAGGAACGGCGCTCTATTTTCCAAAAAATTTGGGAATACACAACTGTTGTTCTGCATATCCAAGTTGTTATACGTGTCCTTGGCACAAATGTTGATGACGTTATCACAAAATTTTGTAAAGTAAAATCTCATTTGAAATACACGCCTAACACACTTTTATAAATTTACTTTAACATTACGTACATATGTTTATTTCAACTTATAGGGTTCTCATAAAAATCAAATTTTATAATTTCTTTAAAAATGCTGAATATGTTTCACTGTACTTCAGGGGTGAGGGAAGTTCTGTCGAAACAACCTTCAACGAATGTTTTATTTATGTCAGTATGATAAATAACAGGCAGTAAAAGCACCATCTAAGGCAGACCTGGATTTTTAAAAATTTGTCTTTGATAGTTGCATTTTCAACCAAGACTTTCAAATTGATCACATAAATAAAGGTAATGGCTGCACAGCCAAGGTAAGTATTAACCCATCTGTTTAAAATAACAGTTTTATTACGCACAATGAGTGGCTATAAAATTTCGTTAACGCATTAGGATGATAATGACAAATTCTTGTTTTATAATGCACTAAATACTTACTCTGAATAATGCAGCGTAGGCTCCTAACACCATTCCAAATTTTACATTTTTTTGATTAAAAATTGCTCTGAAAAACATTTTCATCGAACTTTTACGAAAATTTACAATTACTGAGCATAGAGATTTAGCACTGTTCAGACCATAACCAAGAGCAAAATATTTTATTATTTCCTGTAAAACAGTATGAATGTGATAAGAAAATGACTTAAAAAAGAAAATATGAAGTATGTTACTGAATTTTTGTATACTCAGTTAGCAAAGCATAATTTTAATAAAAACGTTGTATCTAAAAGCAATGGTCTAAAGAAAAGTTAAGATGAGTCAGAAACTTGCACTTACATTCCATTCACAACCTTTCCGGTCAAAAGCTGTTTGTGAAAACTTAAAATTTCCTAGCGTAACTTATTTAGAAAATTCTAAATTCGTTAATATAGTCTATAGATAGGCAAACCTTTTTGGTTTAAGTATGTATAAAAACATATATTCAAATTTAAACATTTATATGCCAGACTTGCGCAACCACAAACAAAACTGAAATTTATGTAGATTTTAAATCATATCAGTGTTATCTTTATTAATTTTATGCTTTACTTTACCGGACTCTTTTTTGTAAACCTACCGTAAGATAAGATTTTAATGTGAAAATATTTCTAGTTGGGTAATAAATCCTGCAAGATAAAACTTGAATTTTGACACAACTTTTACAGATTGTTTTACCATAGAGTAGGAGGAATTCTTTGTCCTTTTAGTGATCTTTTTCTTATTATGTACATTAGCAAAGAACTGACAACCATGAACATTAATGTTTCTCGAAAGATCGAATAATGAATTATTTGAAAGTGATACAAATTTTTTAATAATGCTTCGATTACCTGAAGGTCGTAAAACAAATTCAAGGTTCTTCTTAAACTTATTACCTACCAAAGTGGACCATAATAAACTATTTAAAAGACGATTTTCGTTGTTTTCAAACAAAAGCGATAAACCGGCTAATAAACCTGGTAAAAAGCCAACAGTGTAATAATGAAATGTACCTAAAATGTTACTGAAATAGTGATTAAAGTGTTGTAACTTTATAGCTTTAATCAACATACTAGTTTAAGCAAACTCCATTTAATGTTAAGGCAGCGTAACTAACACCGTAACACCAGGATCTTAAAAGTTGATTAACAATTTTCTTCATGTAAGTTTTACTAAGTTTCTTATGATTAGTGAGTAATTTTACCTGAAAGTAAAGGTTAATTATTATTCTAGAGTATTTTGTAGATGGTAAATACTAGATAAATTGATGCATAAAAACAGAATACTCCTGAAAAGCAACGTGTGGCTACCGATGTCATATTTGCTTTGATGCAGTTGTTGGTCCATGGATGTAACACACTTTTACAAGAAATGTCTGATGTTATTTTTTCGTCGAACAAGAGTTTGCTGATGATTACCATGTTGCGTATCTTTAACAGATTTATAAACGAATTTTTTAGTTTAAATTAAATTTTACCACATAAACTATACTTAAACTGTGAACCACTATTTCTTTATGCCAACAATGTTTTGAATACAATGAATATTATACAGTACACACTGCAAACTGAGGTTTTAAATTTACATAATTTAGTTGAAATTACGCATGTCATGTCAACAGATAAATATACATATAATGACCATATTTATGCCACTCCGAAAAGTATTTCACAAATAAGGTAGTGGAAATAATAACAAAACTGTGAAGCATATATATGTTTTCCGGAAATCGTCATACAAACAACATTTTCCCGCGTATCTATGCACAGGAAAATTGAATTTTCCTGACTAGTACTGTAAAGGCTTTACAAGACGCTTTTTATGTACAGTTCTAGCTGTGCTTTAAATTTGTGCTCTAGTTACCCATGATACTTACGTCAGCATTGAAATTGAAACTGCTGACGTAAGCGTCATGGGTAGCGAGAGCAGAAATTAAAAAAATTAACCGATATAAAGTTCAAATTACTTGAGGTTAAGGTATAATAATTAGCTTTTAGATATCAGTTTTAAATATGATATGTTCCTTGGTGTGGTGATATTGTGGGTGGATGATATTTTTGTCACATTTTTTATTCAAAAATTAGTATTGCAAAAAATAAAGAAAATAAACTACTGCTTAGTTTTTTAAATTAAAAGCTCGATAACATTCTTATTTCTACAAATTCGAACTGAGATAAGTCTGTTATTAATGTTACCAGCTGCTCTTCTTTATGATGTTGGAATAAAAAGTTATTAGAAGGGCGGTTTTTTTTAAGAATAAGAGAGTAGATTATTCACATGAATGCAGTAACCAAAGATTTACTTCTGTAAGTCTAGTCAAAAAAGAAAAAACTAGTTGTAAACATATTAAATCTTTAAAGCATTTTATTTTATGTTCTGAATGCTAGTCAAAGATGTTATTGTAATAAGGCCATCATGATGAATCTTTTAGTTAATCTTTTGTACTTATTCCCACTGTCTGTCTGCCGCAGTCTGCTGGCAAATTTTTAGAAAAATAATCTGCGAAACTGCAAAAACCACACTTTTTTTCTAACTTGCAATGAAACAAACAATATTGTGAAATTTGACAATTTATTCTTAACAGAATGGTATTCTAAATGATAGATTGGAAGCAGTTTAGCAAATTTAGGGTTTTAAAGAACAGTAAAGCTGAAAAATCATTCTTCTATTTACATGTTTAATTATGTATAAGCTTTACTAAAATAATCCATTTAGTGAAAACAGTAAACAGTAATACAATACAATAAAGAGTAACACAAAGTTATGTGCTGTAAATGCAATACCACCATAGCTTTAATTTTTTCAATGTTATACTAATACTAAAATAAACATAAAGACAAACATTTCATTACATCTTACAGTCAGTAACCAAATTGTAAAACCTACTAAACAAGGTTATATTCATGTTGAAAATTTCTATAAAATTAATCAACTTCTTCAACAGTAGGTCCTTTCCCTCCTGGACCTGGCTGTGCACCTGATGCTTGTGCACCTTGATGCAGTTTCATCATAATTGGAGAACAGTCCTTTTGCAACTCTTTAAATTTATCCTCAAATTCATCTTTTTCAGCTAACTGATTTGAATCTAACCAAGATAAAGCTGCCGAACATTTTTCTCCAACCAGCTTTTTATCGTCCTCGGTGAGTTTATCAGCAGGTGCGTCTTCTGTAGCCTAAAGTCAAAAATTAATAATTACAAAAATTGCACCTTAACCATTAGCACCCATACCTGTTTAACGCTAAAAATATAACCTTCAAGTTGATTCCTGGCCGTAATTTTTTCTTTTTGTTTTTCATCTTCTGCTTTGTATTTTTCAGCTTCGGCTAACATTCTATCGATATCGGCCTTCGACAAGCGTCCCTTGTCGTTGGTGATAGTTATTCTTTCAGATTTACCAGTACTTATGTCTTTGGCTGAAACGTTGAGAATACCATTTGCGTCTAAATCAAATGTTACTTCAATTTTTGGGACGCCACGTGGCGCGGGAGGAATTCCGGTAAGGTTGAAAGTTCCCAACAGGTTGTTATCTTTCGTCATTGCACGTTCACCCTCAAACACCTAAAAATGCATTTTTCATATATACAAGAGTTATTACGAAGTTTCATTAGGTCTTACCTGAATGGTTACAGCGTTCTGATTATCTGAATAGGTAGTGAATGTCTGTTGCTGTTTGCAAGGAATCCTGGAGTTTCTCTCAACAATCTTTGTCATAACACCACCTGCGGTTTCAATACCTAGAGACAAAGGAGCTACATCGACCAGCAAAACATCTTGAATTTGTGAACTAGTATCCCCTGTCAAAATAGCAGCTTGGACAGCGGCACCATACGCTACAGCTTCATCAGGATTAATAGAAAGGTTGAGAGGTTTACCACAGAAGAAATCTTGCAGCATTTTTTGTATTTTGGGAATACGAATAGAACCTCCCACTAAAACTATATCATGAATTGCCCCTTTATCCATTTTAGCATCAGCTAGAGCCCTTTCAACAGGCTGAAGAGTAGATCTGAAGAAATCCATGCAAAGTTCCTCAAATCTGGCTCTACTAACTTTCGAATAGAAATCGACACCTTCATGAAGAGCATCGATTTCTATGCTCGCTTCAGCGCTTGAAGACAAAGTTCTTTTAGCTCTTTCGCATGCAGTCCTCAAGCGACGTACTGCCCTAGTATTACTACTCAAATCTTTGTGATGTTTTCTTTTAAATTCTTGAATGAAGTGATTAACTAAACGGTTATCGAAATCTTCACCTCCTAAATGAGTATCTCCAGCTGTTGATTTAACTTCAAATAGAGACCCTTCATCTATGGATAAAATAGAAACGTCAAAAGTACCACCACCTAAATCAAAAATCAACACGTTCTTTTCGCCCTTTAGGTTTTTATCAAGACCATAAGCTAAGGCAGCTGCTGTTGGTTCATTAATAATCCTCAGCACATTCAGTCCAGCTATAGCACCAGCATCTTTGGTGGCTTGTCTCTGCGAGTCGTTAAAATAAGCAGGTACTGTGATAACGGCATCCACTACTTTATCTCCTAAGTAAGTCTCCGCAATCTCTCTCATTTTCGTAAGTACCATAGAGCTTATTTCTTCGGGAGCAAATTTTTTAACTTCACCTTTATATTCAACTTGAATTTTCGGTTTGCCTCCATCGTTGACAACAGTGAAAGGCCAATGTTTCAAATCTTCTTGGATTTTGGAGTCGTCGAATTTACGTCCGATTAATCGTTTGGCATCAAAAACGGTGTTTTTTGGGTTCATCGCCACCTACAAATTATGATGATTGTAAAAATAGTGCGAATGATTCATTTTTTAAATCGACAAAGTGGATTTGTTTTTACGTTTAACATTGTAAACGTGAACGGGTTATGATTTTGATGAAATTATTTTGATGTTGCGCCAGCTTACGCGTGGGAAGAGAATTTGTGTGTCCATTTAAAATTAGACACGTGTTTTAAAAGTGGGTTTAAATCGAGGCGTTTCCAGAAAATATAATCAATGAAAAAACGAGAATTGGCCGTATAAAATATCACGGTTCGCTTTGTATTCATTTGGTAAGAGAAAAAAAATGGGTAAAAGTAGTTGAGTTAAGTTCTAATTATCCTTGTTCATAAAAATATTTCATTCAAATTTTTAAACTTGATCCCGAATTACTCATCGTATTTTTCTTTTCTTGTCTTTTAATATTTATGTCTGCTGTCTTTGGTTTCAAGCAAATTAGAACAAACACAGGATTTTTTAAAATTAGTATTGGCAGACTTAAGTCATTTAAAATTAATGCAGAATAATTTAGATCATCGTAAACAGCAGATTTTTTCTACGGAATCATTAAATTTATTAATATTTTAATAAATTTATTGATTAAAAGTAGGTCATTTGTCTTGGCATGACAGTATGAGTTCTTTAAGAATGCAAACATGGAAACCTCCATCGTCTATTTATCAACACATACGATTGTCAAAAAAATTGTGGTTTTAAATTGATTTTACTTTTAAAATGTAACCCGACAACATACATTGACCTAAATTTTTGGTAATGTCTAACTACTACACAAAAAATACACAATGATGAAATGTATAAATATATGTCAAGATTTCGCGTTTTTGTTATAGTATGTATATATCCATCAAGCCATTTATGTGTTTCCTGTTTGTAAATTTTTGTTCATGAAATCTGCAAGCAATAAATAAATTCATCAAAACTTTCCTTTGCCTCTTTTCTTCGATGACTTTTCTGTAATAATAAATTTACTCGGGTTAAAAGCAGTTGTTTGCTGCCACAGTTAAATTAGTCCACTGAATTCGAGTTTTTTTGCAAAAGAATACGTTTAATATGTGGTGTAATAAATAAAGTGGTGTTATGGGATATATGTATCATTTTAAGAGATTTCTCGTAAGATTCACGTTAGAATTCATAACTTTGTTCCTATCGATAAATTTAATTATTTAATATAATTAGAAATTAACAAAAGTATAAAGAAATAACGTAAAGTAGTCGCAACCGCTTCCTCTTTAACGAATGAAACTGTGACATGAAAAATGTATATAACATATACACAGAATTCTGTATATTTTTTTTGTGGATAGCTTAAATGCCGTTCGTATTTTAATAATCCACGCGAGGAGTCAAATATCTTATGTCAAATATGGTCATGTTTTTGTGCGCTTGCGTCATTTTCAAGTAGGTCGTAGAAAAAAACTTAACAACAAGGGAACGTCATTTGCGTTAAAATTTTTAGGAGATTCGTTTGTTATAAGCAGACTTAGGCACAACCGAGTGAGGGAATCAATCAGACAAATATTAAAAACGAGGGCGCGACATCAGGCGATAAATTTGGCTGGCCGACTGTGCAGTCTCACCCACGTCTTAACCTCAGTGGCGTTTAATGCAAATCAGGATTTATCTAATCAAGATCATCACGAAAATTGTGATGTTGAACAGTCATTTTTAATTTTTAAGGCATTTTAACATCTAGGAGAACTCGTATAACTGAAAAAAATCGAGAAAAAGTAGTAATTGTTATTAAGAATTCCCGAAGTTATAGGCTATATAGTGTCACTTCCGCCATGCCGAGGTGTGGTTATAAGCTACTTGATTTTAGCCACAATTCGATGTGGCAAAAAGTTAGGTGTCATTTATAAGTCAAGTGAATGTTCATATCCACAGTTCTTCTGTCACTTGTGTCACTCTGTGTTGATACTATTAAATGTAGTGGCTAATGATTCAAAATTTTAATAAATCAAGTGTAAGGTAATAGTGCGAATTCATTTGAAGTATTGTCTGCGACATTAACGAGTAATAGAAGAGATGAACGATGATGTAAATAGATAATATGAAAAAATTCAAAACCATAATTCTCAGTAGTAGTATTAATTTTACAGAAATTAAAACAAAAAATGTTTATACTTAGATTTAATTTTGTATTTTTAATTTCTTTCAGTACTAAACGACGTGAAACAAAACTCTCTACAAAATCTACTAATCTTGCTCCAGCTTTGAACTATTTGTTATTGATAGTAAAAAAAAAAACATGTAATCTCATTTGTGTTTGTTTTTACGAACGAACGAATAACATTTTACAAAATTAATAATAATTAAAAGTAAAAGATTTGTATGATAAGCTAAGGAAGCACTGCAATCGAGTCCATCAAGCGAATGGCTCTTTTCATATTGGCTTGACGTTTCATGAGCCCTAGGGTAAGAAAACATAGGTCACCCATTTTCGAATGTTTGTCTAGCTTCCTGTTTGTGTATTGGCCTTTTTTTTTCTAATCATCGCTACCAATAATTTGATGACGTTGTCGTAAAGAGTAATTTCAATACAGTAACCTTCAAATAGGTAGTAAGAAATTACAAAAAATGTTGATAAAAGTTTATCGTATTTTTTCACTCTATACCTATATTTTTGTTTTGTCTGTTCTGCAGAGATTTAGAAAAATATTGGTACGTAAATTAGTTACCAATAAAAAAATCTTTTTCAAACTAGTAGCAAGTGAACAATAAAAATCCTGTCAAAATATAACACGAACAATAAAAATGTATGAAAATATAACACACACCTCTAATGAAAAAGACATACCTTAAGTACGTTACGAGTATCTAGTACCTAATTTTTCAGATCTATTGTTAATAATAATTTATGGCTAATGGAATGTACAAAAACAAAATTACGTGTACAAGGTTTTTTTTAAGAAAACATTTACAGTTTCTTACGCTAATAAAAGTCTCATACAGAACATATCAAAATATTACTGTATCGAAAAATGAATTCCATACTCACAAACTACACCAACACAATATTATAAATCATACATTTGTTTCTTGTGCAAATGATTCGTTTTTCTTAAAAAAAAACAATTTATTCCATCATTTTTCGGCAGCTATTTGTCACATGCTATTTAAATTCCAAAAAAGCCCCAGGCAACTGAAATATAATTTTACCTTCATTACTATTACCCGATTTGATAAACAAAAAACAAACATTATATATTCCATTAAATATAACATTCATGATGGTATTACTGTTTCGAAAAATTAAAGCATTAAGTTTCAAGTTGTTCGGAATTTTTCACTAGAAGCAAATTCAAAATTTGTTTTTATTTTTGTCGACAACATATTTCAGCAACATCTGCTTTTAGTATCTAGCGGTGATTACTTCCTTTTGAAACCCGTAAATCTTTTTATTTTTTTCATAATATCATTAATTATCTATGTCTGATTGACCCATTTATTTATTTATCTAAGTATTACAAAAACAACCCACTTGCATAATACCAAATATTTGCATAAACATAAAGCGCGCGTGATCTAGTGAACGTCTTTATTTGGTCAAAATATTTGTCATATTACCGCACCAAGACTCTCAGTGTCCAAATATGGTTCATGACCTTTCCCAATACCCAAAGCTACCATAAACATCTCAATTAAATAACCAATCTGAACACATGTCCTTTAACCCAACATGTGTTCCTTTTAAATTTAAACAAACACACAAAACCTCCGATTTTCCCATATTTTTCACTCGTAATTTTACGAAAAAGTTCATTCAAAACATGCAGTTTCGCTTTGAACCTGGCACTCATCCAACCTAATTACAGCAAATTTTGCACGATCACCTCAAAAATAACTCATGAAGTAATCGGCTTGATTCACCGAAGGGAAAAATACCTGGCTTTTGGCGGCGTCTCCGATGAGCCTCTCCGTGTCGGTGAAGGCCACGTAGCTGGGGGTGGTCCTGTTGCCTTGGTCATTGGCGATGATCTCGACTTTGCCATGCTGCCACACGCCCACGCAGGAGTATGTGGTGCCTAGGTCGATGCCTACTCCTGGTACCTTCCCCATGGTGTAAGTAAGTGAAACTCTGAAACTTGACTGGCGGTATCTCTGTGTGAAGCGCGGTGGTGTATTTCAAGCGTTTGTCGAAAGTAGGGCGGTTGCAACTTTGGCACGGAATTTATTTTCTGGTGGAAATTTATAGGATTGGGTTAAATTGATACTAAGTAAATGATATATTGGCCGCTGATTAGTGGGCTTTTCGACAAGAATGAGATACAATTGTGTTGAAGTGATGGAAAAATAACAGATGTTGCTTATTTTGCTTGGCGGACGTAAAACTTCTGTGAATAGACATATGTGTAGAAGTGGAGGTTTATATATAAGAAAAATTCCTCTACAATAAAAACGACATTCGCTCTATTTCTCTTTATATGTTTCATTCATATGGACTGTGGATTTATGTAGTGTTTATTTAAGTAGTTTACGATTTGATCTAGTTTATTTTCTAAATAAATTTTCCTACCAATTAAATTTTTATGACTAATTTTTTCATATCTTCTTTTGTTATGCAATTTATAATTTTTTTAGGAAAGATGAAATTAACTTTATTATAAGTATAACACTAATCAAAGTGTTACCTGGTATACTCAGAAAATTACTTCTTTGACGTCCCTAGAAATACGATGAAAATGAAAGTTTGTTCTTTATTTTAATGTTAACTGTTTGATTTTAGTTATATATTTTTACCAATTAAAAGCAAAATTAGCCGTTGTCTTTATTGATAGACTAAATTGATCGGTTTATGATCCAGTTTCATGTGGATTCTATGTGTTCGCAAGCTAAATTTTCCACCTAGCAACAACAGTCACACTGCTTCTTATAACCCAATAACAGTATAACAGTTTTAACTTTGCGTTAACACAACTACCTACTTGAAATTAAGTTATTCAAGACATTTTCTTATTCGTTCCAACTAAAATAAATTTTATCTATATGACGCCTATTTCCATTAAAAAGAATACAATTTTCACGGACGTTAAATTTGTATTATTGCATTTGTAATATTGTTATTGTTACATAGGTTTTGAAAATAACTCTATTGTAACTTTTTTTATGAACCATTCCATTGCCAAAAATTTTAAGGGAGTTTGAATCACGTGGCATTGTAGCAACGGAATTTCAAAATTAAATTATAAAGCTTTAGAAGATTAGATGTAAAAATATATAGGATGTTCAATTCGAAAAAACTAAGGTGCGTGTTCCACTTTAAAAACACAACAAATTGTACAGTCAAAAATAATTTTCGTGCTTGGTCACCAAAGAACTGTACCTTCACTTCACTTGGTTTTCTTCTATTTGGTGACGCATCCTGTGCAAATGGTATTTATTATTTTCAAGTACATATATATAAAGTTTTTTTCGAAGTTAAGTTAATAGCTATTTTTAGATTTATTAAAGATAAACCCCAACAAATCTTCCTATCAAAAAAATGTTACTTTAAAGTAAGTTCGAAACTGCTATAAAATAAAAGGTATTATATGTGAAAAACATGAAAAGAGATCATTTGCATCACGCTGTGTAAATAAGTTTAAACGTTGTTAAGCTTTTTATATGTATGTACGCTAAGATTAAATTTGGTGTAAAATTACACAGTCCCATTTACAAAAATAGTGAAGCTCTGAATTATAGCAAACAAATATCTTGAAACTTGTTGGTGTATTTTTCGTTTTTCGTTAAGAATTTAAATTATAAAAATATAACATAGGATGTTATGGAAAGGTACGTACAACAAAATTGACAGTTCTTCGCGTAGTCTAAGAAGCCTGAAAAACTTAATTTGTGTTATCAAAATTATAAGGGGAAAATTAACCCCTATTCAATCTTTTTAGACGCTACTGAAGGATAAATAGGTAAAATTAATTTATTTTAATAAATCCTAGCAACTGTAACAATAATAAAAAAAATAAGAGACCCTTTTGTTGCTATAGAAACGAAAGATGACCTTTTTATCAGAGGCGTTCAACGAATTTGGACATAAATTTTAATCATTTTTATCTCTAAAAGGAGGACACTTTTTTTACTTTTAGCACCCAGACTTCGAGACCAATTGCCGATTTTATTTTGTAAGTACCTTTTAATAACACGCTGTATTTGGTTTAAAAAATAAAATTGTGTTAAGTAATCTTTAAATCTTGTATATTCCAGTTTCAACTTTTTTGTAGCAAAAAATCCGATGCTCTCTCTACGCTTCCGGCGAAATGGATATTTTCTAAAGGTGTTAATTTGAGAAATGTTTATGTTTATAAGTATTTCACTTAAATGATTAACGGTTTTTAAAACTGTTATACCTACTTTGCGAATTTTGTTCTTTGGTATACAGTGAAAAAATTGGTCGAAAGTTATTTCGATAGAACTTCCCTAGCATCTGAAGTACAATGAAACGTATCCAGCATTTTTGAGTTCAGTTTTTTCTTTGCACAATTTTGTGATGAAATCATCAACATTTTTGCAAGGAAACGTACATCAACTTGGATTGGGGCAGTGTAATACAAAAGATAACAGTATTGTATTCCCAAAATTTTTTAGAAAAATGGAGTGAACCTTTCTTGATTTAACCCATAAAATAATCTGACTCATTCATTAATTTTTTTGAGCCACCTGTTTAAGTAAATCTAAAAAATATGAATGCAATGATAAATTACAAGTAAAAACTCATTATATTTTACACATTTTGGGTAGGATTTATTCGGCAAAATTTTGAGATGACGTCATGAATTTTTTGGGGGGAATAAACAGATATATTTTGATTAACAATTTACCATGCTTATAGTAATTTCAAAATGGCCGACAATTTTCAAAGTATTCAGTTTGCAATTCTTGATTTAATGAATAAAATAAATTGACTCAATCATTGATTTTTTGAGACACCCTGCATAAGCAAATCTAAAATATATTAATGCAGTGATAAATCACAAGTATAGATCCATCAAATTTTGCACTTTTAAGATCAGATTTATTCAGCCAATAGTTTCAGGTGACGTCATCAATTTTTTTGGGGGATGATCAAAAATTTATCATGCTTATGATAACTTAATATCTCCAAGATTTCAAAACATTCGAGTTTGCAGTCCCTGATAAAATTAATAAAATAAATTCACGAATTCATGAAATTCTTTGAGTCAACCTGTATACGGAAATCCAAAAAATATGAATCGAGTGATAAATCACAGGTATACACTTATCATATTTTGGACATTTTAGATACCATTTATTCGCCAATTTTTTGGAGAGGATAAGCAATTATATTTTGATTAAAATTTTATCATGCTTTTCATGAGTTTAAAACAGCTGCAAGATTTCAAAGCAATCGGTTTTGCAGATTCAAAATTAAATTACAAAATGTTGTTTTATGATTTTGATTTTTTTCCAAAAATCTCGACGTTTCGAGTAAAACTCAACACGGAGTCATAAACTACATGTGTAGGACTATGTTATTTTTTACAATTTAAAACCTATTTAAGGTGTACAATTTTGAAGTGACGTCATCACATTATTAGTGAGAATGATTAGACAAATTTTGGTTAGCGTTTTATCATCTACATGATATTCCTAATATAAATGCAGAATTTGACAAGTAAAAACTCAGTAAAGAGATCTAGGGATTTTTGTTACGCAACTCAAGACAGGACTAATGCAAATCACAACCTACCTAAAAAAAAAACGGCTCGTTCCATTTTCACAGAAAATTTTGGTAATACAATTCTGTTATTTTTTGTATTACACTGCACCAACCCAAGTTGATATATGTGTCCTTGCAAAAATGTTGATGACGTCATCACAAATTTTTAATTGGTCAAATTAAGAGGGAATAACCCCATTTTCTCGAAATTGTGAGAATACGCACGTCTTTTTTATGTAATAATGATAAAATTAGAATTATAATATTCAGAACATTTTGTTCGACTGTGGTTTAGTCAATAGTTTTAGTCCTCTTTTGAGAACATAAACTCATTCAAATCAAACTAATTTCTACGTGACATTCTTTCGATGTAATCGTATGTACATAAATAATCCCTTGAGCTTCAGATTGCTATTACCTAGTACTGAAGGATATTTTATCCCGTTAGTTAAGCGCTTCGAATATATTTTACATTGTCCGTACGGTGCGGGGGTTGCGGGGGCGTTATTTATGCCGCTGGTTACTACTTTGCAGAGGTTATCACCAAACGAAAATCGTAAATCAAATTTTATAATTTTTTTAAAGAGCTGAATTTGTCCAGTTATACTTCAAGGGAGAGGGAAGTTCTGTCGAAATAGCCTTCGACCAATTTTTTCAAGTTAAATTTCTAGGTGCGATCTCTGTTTCGAATTATGTAAATATCGTTGTACCAAACGGCAATACTCATTTAACATAAACTTTGAACCATATCCTATCTTAATCGTGTTATCGAAATAAATATTGTTGTGACGTTTTTGACATGACATTGTACTAAACCACAGAAAAGCACTATAGATTATTTTTAAACTGCATTGTTATAGTATACGATGGAAAAACTTAGTCTATATTTATTTCTAGGTTAATGTGCATATGTGATTAATAAAATAATAAGTTTATGAATTGTCTTGTATAACAATGAAGGGTTCAGTTTTTTTATTTAGAGTAACGACATTATTCTCAAGAGAGAAAAAGTGATATGAAATGCATTTTACTACAAATGTTTTGGAATCTTTTCTTCTTCAGCCATTAAAGAATATTTAGCTGTGATTTTTAACTGTTTTCTGTTGGTAGAAATTCAGCCTCTTCCATTAAAGGAAAAGACAAGTTCTGTGTGACCTTTTGCGTGATTTAAACAAATTTTTGGATTTAGGTAGTATTACATAATGATGCAAGATTTCGCATTTTATTCTGTAAGAAAATCCCTTAAATCTATTTGGTTCTTGTAAAAACTGATCTTTTTCAACATCCGTTTCCACTTTTGGCTATTTCTAAAACGTATTGCCTACATACAAATTTTGGTACAGTATTTTTTACTTCTTGCATATTGACTAAAAACGTATCCAAGATACTAACGGTGTGTACTCTGTGTTTAATCGATAACGAATGTTTTTTAAGGGTGGGTAGCAGTATTATAAGTGTTGGTTATCTTGGTAGAAAAAAACTTGCTTCGTTAACACTATGGCTGGTAAAGGTAAGAAAAAGAAAGGCAAGGCGAAAAATGGAGACAAGAAAAAAACGGTGAAAACGAAGAAGGGAGGTCGTAAAGGTGGAAGAGCGAAAAGTTCAAGGTGTACCGTGGATATTTTCACTGAAGCAGCAATGGAAAATGCGTATACGATTTGTCACAATGTTCAAGATTTACTTAAATCAAGAGGGTTTCCTTGGCCCGACGCCCAAAAGAAAAAGAAAAAAGGGAAGAAGTAATGGGTGTGTAAACTGATTGATAAATTGTATCTACTACTAATGAAAGTATGAATAGAATTTTAGAAAGCACTTTGTTGTTTTTATTGACTGTAACACCGTTTTAGTTTCACGTGGATTTAAAAATAAAGTAGTTGTCTTAGATTATTTGAAAAATCAGTTTATATATAGCTGGTTGCTTGCTGAATTTAAAAGTGAAAAAAAAATAAGGAGAAAATAACAGTAACTCTCTAGAGTAGTAGTTTAAAATACCTGAGCTATGGTTGTACGAATTGCAACATAAATGTATATTATATATTTAACTAATTTCATATTCAATAACTATTTATTTTAATACATACGCCAGAAAAGTTTGTAATGATGCGCGTGTTAAATATTTTTAAGTCGATGCTGAATTAAGTAAATACCAAAACGCACCAGTGGCATACGACGAGTTTAAAAATAACCAAGCGCAGTCTATATTAATCTTTCGAGAAGGCAACAGTTGACTAAAGATTTGACTTTACAACTGTACTAATTCCTGTGTTTAGTTTCGGCACAAGAATTTTCGTATTCTGCTATCGTAAGTATTTCCGTTGCAATAGCTATAACTGCTTTATGCTTTTAACTATTAATAAAGAGTTAAAAAAGTCTACACCAATTGAATTCTAGAATATTCCGCATTGAAGAAACATGTCTGTACTTTCATTTCGTGTGATGCCCACAACATATGATTATTTTCTAGAAAATGCCTCTTCACGTTGCTTGCAGAGTCGATGATGCTAATAAACACGAATACGATATTAACCAAATTATATTTCATAAAGGAAAACTTTATAGTGCTGCTGATGACGGCAAAGTCAAGGTATTATATTTCGCTTTTAATTATGTACATAAAAGACACGAAGTATCACTTCATTCTAGGTTTGGTCTCCTGATCTGAAATTTCTTCAAGAAGTTCAGGCACATCCTTGCTCCATCTTTTCAATAACCGCTAATGACGATACTTTGTACACTTGTTCAAACGATGGGACTGTGAGAAGTTGGGACCTTAATAGCCTAAAAGAAAAAGATTTTTTGATAAAAGACGAAGAAGTCGAATTTTGGAAAGTGAAGTATGATCAAGGAGTTTTGTACGTGGGGGATGATAACGGAAACGTGAGAAGTTTCATAAACATTCTTGTTCAGTAAGTTGTAGCATTGGTGATTTTTAGATGAGAATTTATAAAAATGAAACATTTTATGGGTCCATTAATGTGGCTATACCAGTTAAAGATCTGGTTGTGAAAGATAATTTAGTAATTGTTGCCAAAGATAATGATGTTATTGTTACAGACTTGCATCTCCAAGGTTTGAACCATTGAGTTTTCAAGTTGTTGAAGGATTTATCATTTGAGTTGTAGGGAAAAAGCCACAGTTTGGCGTAACCGCTACAATTGTGGGTAGAGGGCCCTTGCTCTTAGTCGATGATAAATCTATATTCATGAGCAGGGACGGTCGAGATATCCTTGTAAACGTCATTGGAGATAAACAACATTTCAAACAAGTATCAACAATTGCTGTAAGTTATTTCATAATTATTGTTATTATAATTATGATTTTTTAAAATTTGTTTTAGGGAGCACACGATATGATTGTTAATGGAGGGGCAGCTGCAAACTGGGATGGCAGTATTCTTTTGTTCACTGGTGGATGGGATAAAGTTGTGAAGCAATGGAAAATTGAAAATGATTCTCTAAAAGCAGACGGTTCTTTTGCTGTGGATTTCGTTGTCAATAGTATGGTAGATGGTGCAAAAGGGCACATTTATGTCGCTGGAAGTGATGGACATATTATTCGTTTAGATGTTTAGATTTGACAAATACGCTGGCGATGGTTATTTCATAAGTAATTCTTTAAATTTACTATAATTTCATTTTTATTCATACTCGTAGTTTTTTGTAACTAACCAAAAGTAGCACACTGTGGTTATTTTTGTAGTAAACTTTGAATTCAAATAAAAGCACCGGTCATATTTACGTTTTGTGTCTTCGAATTTTAAGTGTACTGTTCGTTAAGTCTTTTCATAATTTACAGTATGTAATTAATTATTGGCTAATAAGAAGTCTTCCAATATTATTTCTGAAAAACCGTAAGTGCTGTTATGGTCCTATATTTTAATGGTTTTAATACCGGCTTTTAAATTCTTATGTTAACAAGAAGCTTCTATTTAACCCCAAGCTGAATTTAATATTTTTGTTTTGATTAATTAATAATAATTTTTGCAGTAAACTTCACGTTTCACTTAAATAAAAGAAAAACAGAGAAGCTATGGTTAAGTGGGTAGTGTTTTCTGCATAAGAATGTATGTTTTATAAAATATTAATTTAATCATCTGGTATTGCTAATGGTAAATTAAAATACAACAGCACATAGGAAAACTGTTTTTATCGCTTAAAAAGTAGTAATTTATTTAACTAAAAATCAACTAGTTTCCTTAAGCTGAGCTTAACTTGAGGTTGTAAAAAACGAATAGTTGCAAAAAAAACAGATGAAGAAACACAAAAAATGTACTCTTAAAAAATCTAAAATTGGTTAAAATTCGATGCAACTGTCGACCCAGCTTTACGCGAGACGATGATCTTGAAATGGGTGAACTATTTATCATCAAACATTGCTAAGAACCATCTTGATTAAAGTAGTGCACAAAAAAAAATCGGTTCATCCGTTTAGGAGCTACAGTACCACAAACAGAAAAAGGCTTCAAAGTTTTTCATCGGGGGTTAAAACCTTACAGGTTATTATCCATTTTACGCAATAATAAGGGATCTTCTATCAAATAAGCGTTGTTATTTGTCACCTTCCAGATTTGAAGAGCCATTTTAACTGAATGGGCAATATTTGTTGGTTTTTGAAGTGCTGGAAGTGTATTGTTAAACTGAAATAATTGAAGAGATGTAATCTCCAATGTTAGACTTATGGAACATACTTCGTTTAATGTAAGCATTTTGATTTTCATACATTAAAGTATAAAAACCTTTTCCTTGAAGATTAACTTTAAACTCTGGTTTATTTAACAGTTCAACCATTAATTGTTATGGGTGATTTTTTACTACATTCAAAACACACTACATACTTATCATATACGAGGAGGTATTGATAAATTCTTAGCCTCCCATAGAAGGAGAAGCCATACAATGAAACTATATTTTATGTACCTATTCAATGTAATCTATTTAAATTTATACGCTTAATACAACTGTCATAAAGTAATTTTAATCCTCTTAAATAAAATTATTTTTCCTGATCTGCAAACTATTACTCTACGATGTGGATCACCTCTTTATTTGACGAGTATCTCTTTCCTTTCAAGTGTTTTTTCAGTTTGGGAAAGGGATAGATAATAGTCAGAAGGGGCTAAATCTGGCGAATATGGGGGATGGTAAACCAATTCAAAGTGTAGTTCGTTAAATTTCTGTAAGGCAATCAGACATTTTTCGCGATGTTTTTCGATAATTTTTTCTCGCAATTTAATCAATAATGAAGAATAATATGACCCCGTCACAGTTTTGCTAGCTTCCCTAAGTAATCTACAATTCTACTACCCTTGTTCCAAAAAATTGACCTTTCCTGCAGATTTCTGAGACTTGAATTTCTTGGGGAAGGAGAGAAGGAGACTCTCTATGTTTCCACTCTTTCGACTGCTCTTTTGGCTCTGGATCATAGTGATGGATCCATGTTTTATCCATTGTTATAATTCGATCCGAAAAGTTGGGTGAATCCTCTTCAACATTAGTGCAATTTTTGCCTGATATGGTTAAAAAAAAATGTTTGATTGAAGACCTTTAAACGTTTTGCCATCAAATTTGGTACATGCTAGGTACACTTATGTGTCAAACATCCTAGTTACTGTAATAGCAACAGTTGCCATTTTTTTTATGAGGAGTGGACAAGGCTAACTATATATCAATACCCCCTCGTATGGCTACTAATTGGCTTTGTCATTTTTATAAGATTAAGAGCTAGGAATCTACGCAAAAAGCAAATTAGTGTCAAAATCTTAGATATGTAAAGTGTATTTAAACAAGTGCTAAACACAAATCTTTAAAAAGCTTCAGGAAATCCAATGTTTCAAACCGGAATATGGAATCTTATGCCGTTTGGGAGTTACGAGTCTATCTCCTTGAAGTTGTATTTTAACATTCAAGCTAAACGGATTGAGTACGTATTTGGTTTGAGAATTTGCTCATAGCGCTAGAAAACTTCAGAAAATCGAGTCCTGTAAACTTCAATGCTGAATCTTGTGTCATTTTGGAGTTACGTCTTGTTAAGTTCGAAAAAATGCTGTTTTTAACTCTCAAAAGTACCTTCCCTTATATCAGTCTCTCCATATTAAACAAATCGAGTATTCAGTCTGAAAATTTGCTCGTAAAGCTACAAAGTTCGAATGCTTCAAACCGCAATGCAGAATCTTGTGCCGTTTTGGAATTATGTCTTGTTCGTTTAAAGAAAAGGCTTATTTTTGACTCTCAATTGATACATTCCTATATTGGTTGCTCCATACTAGTGTTCGGTCTGAAAATTTGCTCGCAGAACTAGAAAGCTTTAAGAAATCGAATTATTGGAACCTCAGTGAGAAATTTTGTACCGTTTGAAAAAATTTTAAATTTGAATAAAGGCTGTTTTTGAATTCTCAAAAGATGTTTTTCTGTATATTAGTCTCTCTATAGTAAATTAATAAAGTATCTGGTGTTAAAATTTGGTCGTAGAAGAAGAAAGCTTCAGGGAATCCAATGCTTCAAACTACAATGCGGAATCTTGTGCCGCTTTGGAGTTATGCGAGAGTTTTTAACTCTCAAATGACACCTTCCTATATATACCTATAAGGGAATATTTTTTTAATTCTGAATATATGAAAGTAAGTAATAATTCATATGTTCAGTTTGAAAAAAAAAACATCAATGCATAGGAAGTATGCTACCAATATTACGTCAAGCCTCCTTTACTAAAAAAAAAAACTACATGTGAGCTTGTTTGAATTATCGTAGTAAAGTATTTTACAAAAATGTAAATAATATTCAATGCGTCGAAACACCATCAAAGAAATAGAATATTTTCAAGTGTATATATGCTGCACTCCAAGGTTTTTAATAGAACTCCTTATATTTTTACAGTTTTATATTTTTTATATATATAAAAAAAAAAAATAACGAAAAGCATAATGTTAGATACAACTAGTTTTTGATCAATAGTTTTTAAATTTTAAAATATTTTCATTCGTGCGTAAAAAAATTTCGTCCCACGAGTTTTAAATATGAAAGCTTGGAATTTTGTAGAAGATTTGAACGTATTTATACGAGGCGATTGAATTTGCAAATTGTTTGTTTTCTCATGTTTTTTAATTAGGACACCCTAATTTTGAAACAGTTTTGAACACGTTCCTAAAAAAGTGTTGTTTAGACAACAACAAACCTGGTATTAAAAAAAAATGTCACAGGTTATTTCGACAGAACTTCCCTCGCTTCTGTACTACAGCCCAAAATATTCCGCTTCTTTGAACAATTGTAATATTTAATTTTACTTCTACACATAAAGTAAAAAAAAAAATTAATGCACTGATAAACCACAAATACAAATTCTTAATGTTTTTTACATTTTAGATGGGATATAGCGGGCAAAATTTGACGATGGCGTTATCAATTTGGGGTAGTGAGGAGATAAACTTTTATTAACAAATTACCATGCTTACGTTTGTGATAACATGTTGAACCATTCGGTTTTCCGCTTTTCAAACTAAATTATTGTAAAATGTTGTCGTACAATTTTGATTAAACGTCTGGATGTTTAGGATAAAAATTCAATACAGATTCATAAATCACAAATACGGAGGTATGTTATTTTATAAAATTTAAAAAACCTGTATTCGGTAAAATTGTTAAGAAAACGTCGACAATTGGGGCCGGGTTCAGCATAAACGAATAAATTTTGATGAACAATTTACCATGCTTCCGATAACCTTAAAATGTTTGCAATATTGCAGAGCATTCAGTTTTGCAATTTCAAAGTTAAATTTTAAAATATCGTTAAAATTGTTATCCAATTTATTTTTTTCCAAAAATCTGAATGTCTGTGATAAAAAGTCAACACGGATTCATAAACCACAAGTGCAGGAGTATGTTATTTAAACAAATTAAAACAATACATGAGATAACATCATCACATTCACACGATATTGCTAACATACATATAAAATTTGAAAACAAGTGGTGGTGTAGTTTCCAAGACAACAGTTAGTTATGTCATAGCCGAGTTAAACAAGTTCCATTTACGACTCTTACAACTTTTTAAGTAAAACATGCTGCTATCAGTAAGAGTTATATTGTTTTCTTATTACGCTGAATGCTTTAATTTCGAAGAGGAGTACACACTTCAGTAAAATTTTATGATCTTCGGATTCCATACGTTTGAAGAAAGTTAGTTGCAGTTACACTTCGTCGAATTTGTGTAGAGGACAGTTGTTATGAATCGTGTGGTTTAAAATTTATCGATTATACACTTTTCTGTCGGAAATGTGTTTTCTATGAGTTGTTAGGGAATGTGTTAAGTGTGTGTAGGTAAATGAGAGAGTATATGAAACACTTTGTAACATATTTCTGCTTTTAATTAGATCAACGAGATATTGCGTAGAACTCAAGTTCTTTATAAAACAAAACTTTGAGCTAGTCCTCTGCTCGAAAACTATATATATTCAAAACGGTTTTTCTTTTTCGAGCAAAGGACCGTGGCGACTAACTAAACCCTAAAGTCCAGTGTGAAAAAAGGAGTAGGTTTACAGTGGAATACTCTTTATTAGTCGAGCCTAGTCGCTGTGAGCATTTTGATACATTATTTTACAGAAAATGCGACTTCCTCTTATCCTTATACTTAACAGTACTTAACAGCTTTTTTAATTTAACAAATAACATATTGATGGAGATGAGAATTCGAAATACAATCATGTGTATTTGTCGTCCTGAGTAAGTAACAATTTTCGGATTTT